CGCTCTTCCCGTGCCCCCCCTCTCACAAACGACTTCATGAATACATAATCCATAATTCCCTCCGTCTTAGTGCTAAACAGCCTTAAAACCCTTCAAATTCACGCCTCCAGCTCTGGCAGTGTTGACTGTAATCATTTCTTTGTCTTTGCAGAAACTACAGTAAATTCACCCATTTTACAACGATCGATACGGAGAAACACACGCTGCAGAGGCCTGAACAGCTGCTGCTGGAGGTGAAGTGTTCACATAGAAGCATGCGTGCTGAGAGAAGAAAGTGTGAAGCACAGAAGTGATCCGTGTCCTCCAGCACCTCAGCGGGCTTTCACCGGCCACCGTTGATGAGTGGCCGCTATGATTGTGTGGGGAAACACGTAGAAGTGATGTGGCCCCTTCAGTCACCTGACTGTCAGCGCGGCGGGTTTCTGCGACGGGCCCCCCCCCCCCATGTAGCCGTGGCTGAGTGGCACGGGGACGTATCGCGCAGGTATACGACAGTCGGTAGTTATTCATCGTCCATAATGTTAACGATTACAGCATGTCGATAGCAAACCCAGGAGTTAAATGAGTTTGTGCACTCAGCTACGCCGCTCCTTTGTCGGTTCAAGGTCACTCCCTTGCTTCTCTTGACAGGAGGGATGATTCCTGATTCCTGGGGGCCCCGGGGCCCACGCCTCGGCTCAAGGTCAAGCGTGCCACTATTTAGAACAAATAGATACATAAAGCACTCAATCTCGCGGGTCGGTTAAGTACGGGCCGGGACCTTGGGCTGGGATAAAAGTTGGCCCGGCAGCTCGTATATTTCGTCCTGTACTTTTATTTCAGCTCGACACTTTGTCACCCCCCCCCCCCCCCCCCCATCACTCTTTTTCCCCACTCTGCCCGCTTTAACGCTTTGAAGTCCCTCTCATGTGACTGAACGCAAAAAGTTATCATTGATTTTTGTCTCGTAAGAGCTCACCGGAGTGCAATGCGGACGATTTTGTCGGGCGCCTCGGGACGACAAACGTTGCGTTTATCATTTCGACCCGGTGGCGGCTGAAATTTAAGACTGGGCAGCCGCCTTTTAAGCTGCTCTGTCGGACATGCCACGACCAAAAGCTGCTATTCACCTATGGATGGTTTGGGGGGGGAAGAAAACACAGAGGGCCTTTGTGTTTGAGCAAGAGCAGGACAAGGCCGGGGCGCGTGGCGAGAGGACACACTTGATTTGGAGTCAGTTAGCAGCTCATGCCTATCGTAATGGACAATGGGTGCAAGGGGCAAGTGTCTCCCTCCCCTTAGCTCTGCACTCTCTCTCTCTCTCCTGGCGTGCTCCCCCCCCCCCATGAGGAGACACGAGCCGGGGGCTGGGCGCTCTGATGGCCAAGCGTGACATTTAAACCCCTGCCCTCCGGTAGCTTTAGGGGGGCTTTGTGGATGAGATAGGGAGGAGAGGGGGGTTTGCGCAGAGAGGTCCATCTGAGCACAAAAAATAAAGGGGGTCCGGACAGAGGCTCGCCCCCCTGTCCCTTGATGCACACGTACTCGCCACCCCCCCTCCTGCAGAAATCCTCAGTGCGTCAATGCGGTGGGGGCCCCATTGTGCGCGGGGCCTGCCGCTGAAGAAAAGGGCCCTTTGGTGGTAAACAATTCAGCTGTCCACTCTGATCACAACGGGGGCACATCCCATTGCTTTGAGCATCTGCTTGGTAGAGTGGTGCTCGGCACCGCTGACCATACAGACCCGGTGAGCGGCTAAGTCCCTGAATCTGCAGGCCCACTGCCACCTGCTTTCCCCCCACCCCCCCACACACACACCCCCGCCTCCTTTTTTATCATCCACGTATTCGGATCAATACTGTTGACTCCAGCGCGTTGTCTCTCAAAAGACGAGTTGAATAGCCCCGCGTTGGCTGTTTAGTGGGAATCGCATGCTTTTTAAATTGCGTACAGTGCGGAGGCCAACTGTACGAGCTGACTAAGGCATGCATGGGAGAGGAGATGCTCTCTCTCCCTCTCTCTCTCCTCTCTCTCTCTCTCTCTCTGTGTTGAGACACGCAGCTGGTTTCCGTGGCTACTCATCGCCCCCTTTTGGTCGTTCAGGAGATTTCATTCCTGCTTGTAAAACTGCTTCTTGTCTACAGAATAAGGTTCTTACTCTGCACGTGAACACACTGTGGTGGTAGAAGACGTTCAGACAGCCTCAGGTAAAATACCAGTGTAACAGTTAACTTAAAGTGTTACGTACAACTCTCAGTTCTTTTAAATAAAGGCTTAAAAGTGTTCTTCATCCACACTGACTTTTATCAATTTATATTTTAAACCATGCTGCATATTTTTTATCTCCTTTTTGTTTTTTTGTATTTGTAACTTCTATTTCTTTTTACTTTTTAACATCATATTTATGTCTTTTAAATCATGTTTTAATGCAATTTTATGTCAAATGCACGTCGATATGAAAAGTAAGAGTCGTGATTATGCAGAATGGACGGTTTCACAGTGTTATGCTTTTATATATTGTGTTATCGCACATGTTTAATGGAAACACATCATATTTTAGCAAAGTTACTATAGCTGCCAAATAAAATAAAATACCTGCCTCTGAAATACAGTAAAGCAGAAGTATAAAGGAGAAAAACAGGAATATTATTGAAGTAAAACTTGTACTTTAATCTCTGGTAACATACGGTTCATTGCCATTTTTATGTAAATGTTAAGAGTTTAAGAATGTTTAATGATCTCAATTTTTTATTTCCTTCACGCTTGTTTGAACTGGATTTCTTTCATTTGATTGACATATTTCCTGGATTTCCTTGGATCTCTCCCTGATTCCAAAGGGCTAACAGTGAGCGCTGCTCTGCTGGGGAGCCGCTAATCAGCTCCCAAACATTTGCTGCCCTTCTGGCAAGGTCAGAGGGGTCACGGTCCACTCTACCCCCCCCTCCTGCTGTAGAGCCCGGCCCCACCCTTGGGGCCCGTAGGCCCTGCAGGCACAATCACCGCAGCGCCACCATAGGCTCACAGAAGCCGGCTTTAATCTACGGCGCCCCGGGATGGACCGCGGCTGTCTGTCAGGGTGTCTTGCCTTGACCGTGTCCGGGCGGCCCCGGACCTGAGCGATGTGATTGGTCTGTACCCCCCTCCCCCTCCTGCTGTTTGGCCAGCTGATTGATCTGTCAACACTGACCGCTGGATGTGTGTCCCTGAATTTAATTTCAGAATTCATTTCTGGGAGACGTGTGCGTACAGACATGATGTAGAGGCCCAGGGATGGGAGTGTGTGGAGGAGAAATAAAACCGCAGTTTAGATTCCTTTACGATTTAGAACGTGCTCCACGTGAGAACATGGTCGACCCGAAAAACATGCTGTTTTTTTCGCTCTTTTAAAGTGGCCCATATTCAAGTCTCTGTGCCTCCAACACACATTTCTCAACACACATTTTTGGGCGCCATTTATCGGTTCACTTCTGTGATGAAGTGCTGTTGCAATGTCTAGAACCGAGATACTGGTTTATCTACGATACAGGACTAGGCCTGCAAAAAGGTGCCTTAACCCTCAATGCTGCAATCACTTATCAATACCCTGAGAACCCCTCTGCCCCCCCCGCCTGTCGTCAAAATAATAAAAGAAAAAGTGTTGGAAAATGCCAGTGGAGGCCGGGCGGTGAGGAGGTTAGGTAACCCTGATTCATTTCACAGCTCATAAAGCGCTGTCAATGTGTGCTGGTGTGTGTGTGTGTATGCGTGTGTGTGTGTGTGTATGCGTGTGTGTGCTGTCCACCGTGGATATCCCAGTCCATTCTGTCATCAGAAACACCCATAAAAAGAACGCACAGGCGATGAAATGAATGTGGTGGCCGAGACAATGCCCCGTGTAAGGAGGAAGTGAGGGCTGATTTGATGGAGTCCCCCCCCCCCCCCCCCCCTGCAGACACAGAGAGGTGGGGGCTGCTTGGATATGCATCACAAAGGCTTCCTGCAGTATTGATCCGCAGTGGGTTAAGGCAGTCTATCAGCAAATGTCCCTCTCTCTGGGAAAAACAATAGGAGATTAAAAACACACAGCTTGTCCGGGCGGGAGGCTGCTGATGGGGGGGCGGGCGTTATCTGGGCCCAAAGGTCACTGTGTACAGATATAATCCACTTTCACTTAACAGCTTCATTTAAGGCACCTCGCATGCAAATGCGTGGCATTTCCTGGGTCTAGTCTGTGTTTTTTTTGGAGGCAGGCGAAGTTGAATTTCCTGTCCCCAGAGAGGTTAGTTTAACTGGCAGGAAGCTGAAACTGTAACATATTTAAACGGTAGACGACTGCGTTTCCTCTCTACAAACCGAGACGCCATCACGTGCAGGTGTCTGACGGCGTCTCGACTGCTGACGGAAGCAACCGCCGAGCATCAGAACTGCCATTCTGTCACAATTCACTTCATCACGTCTCTATAATGTCTGCTATCACTGATATTAATGCTTTTCTATAACCTATTCTGTCTACAACACATTCATGCTCTGTTTGAGTATAACCTCCTGATGTTTGTACATATTTGGTATCGTTTAATTATCTTGTTGTTATTTTAGTTTTTTAGGAATTTGATGACGTGATGAGACGATGTGTTCAACTGTCCTGAGTCCTGCTAATAAAGAGTGGAAGAGAAAGAATGTGATTCCTTCTAACTAACTCCATCACTGACGTGTCAGAGACTGCACCACCCTGACCGCTGTGACAGGCCTTTTGTTGCTCCTGAGAGTTCTTTGATGAACACACATTAGAAGTCGAGCTCACTTGACTTTATACAGAAGTGTCACAGCCAGATGTCACCGTTTTGTTGTTGTATTTTATTTAAATATGAAGTCCAGGTTAGTAAACGAGTAACAGTAAAACAAACCGTGCTAATGACTACATTAGTTCATCAGCGTTCTAACTTTAAATCCACGTTTTAGATTTGCGTTACATTCAAATAAACTGCGGAGCAAACAAACTGTTGCAATAAGGAGTGGATTCCCTTTAAAAAATGTCTCTGTAACTTGTTGTGCAGTCAGAATATAAATTTAAAAACATGTAATGTAAACGTGTACTTCAGCGCAGCGGGGCGAGGTCAGAAGCGCTCCTTGGGCTCGCTGAATTTGCGCCTCTTCTTCTGCGCGGAGGTGGACGGCGTGTCCTGGCTGTTGGGGATTTCGTACTGAGAGAACTGAAAACAGCAGAAGACACGCCCAGCTGGTAAAACAATAAAACAACAAAACAACAAGCACAGAACGCTGTGAGTCGACTGACTGACACCACATCCCACTCTGAGAAAAACCAAAGCGATCGGCGCTGACTCATCGGTGAAGCTAACGGGGCTCCTACGCATTTTCCTTTCCTAAGCTCCAGCCTGTCTGCAGCAGGAAGTGCTTCTTATGTAAAAGTGATCTGTTATCTGCTCGCTGCGTTACACATTTATACAATATTTACAGAGAGAGGAGCAAGTTTCTCACACTTTTGTCCTTCATCGTTGTCGGCTGCTTGTTGTTCACAGTCAGGTTTGTCTCCTACACACACACACACACACACACACACACATCTTATTTATTATCATATTGAAGCAACAAATAAATAATTTAATTCTTAAATCTTCGACTCATTGAACTTCCAGTGACTGACCGTAACGGACTTGAAGATCCGTCCACTCCTGGTCCTCCTTCGGCCGTCAGCACCGGGGGACTTCTTCACCTCTGAGTCCATCTGAGGGGACAGATGGCCGTAACGTGACCGACCATTAAGGGCACTCTAAGGGGCCCCTTTTTACTGCACAGAGAACTTCATTCAATCTGCAGAGAAACTGGTGTTTTTTGGGGGAAATGTCCTTTTTAATCACTGGTTGTGTTGAGAGACATGTGTCTCGACATCAACAGTCAAAAACAAGCTATGGAAATATTTCACTTTGCTTTTCTGTTTATTCATTAGACAGGGACACTGATGAATCAGCCCGATAGGAATTCTTTTTGTTTTGTGTGTAAATCTTCTGCAGCAGAAGCGTGTCATTATTTGACGAAGGCACACGTACCTCTGTGGCTTCCTCGCAGCTCTCGATCTTCTCATGACAGCTCAGCTGGATCTCTTGAGTTCATGAAAACAAAAAAAAGATGATGTTCATATAGTTTCATAAGTCCAATAATAGGAGTTATTATTTCTGGCTGATGAGGATCTCTGTACGAGACCTTCCAACAAGCTGGAGACCTCTACTGCTGAATGTTTAAACGTCTTCAAACCCAAAAAGAAGCCTTCATGACGCCTACACAAACACACTCTGGAGAAGGTATGCGTGAGGGTTTACCGGTGTTGTCCAAGTCCATGTCCTCGCTGTCGGGCTTCTCCACGTCTTCAATCACATGAGTCTGAAGATGAAAACATGTCATCTGGACGCCGTGATCACAACGTGTCAACACGCGAGACAACATTTCCCAATTCATTCATTCATTCGTTGCACACCGTCTTATATTACCACACAATGTGACACTGATGTTCAAGTTCTCCCCTCTGAGTGTTAACTTGCTTTTCTTTTTCCTTAGTGTTGCAATTTAATGTTACAAAAAAAAAAAGGGTGGGGGGGGGGGGGGGCAGGGTCCGCCATGATGTTATTATAAAAAGGAGAAGGGAAGTGTTTTCTTAGGATCTTAAAAATGTTAATGGGGAGCACATTTCCTAAAAAGCAAAACTGACCTGGCGGTAAAAAAATTGTAAATTTGAGCATAAACTGAATTACTATGAATATAAAAAATATTATTTAAGAGTTAAAAAGCATTACATCTTCAATCCCCAAACCAAACCAAAAGTTCTGTGTTTTTTTAAAGCCTTTTTAGTGATTATTGATCACTTCGTCCTGCTGAGTGTGAACGAGTTGTCTGTGTGACCTGCGACATGACGCCCTCCTCCTCCATCTTCAGAACCCACTTCTCTGTCACCTGAGCGCTCTCCTCCACCTGCAGACATTTAACAACATGCACAGCTGGTTAGGAGCCGACAGGTGTTCATCGAAGATGAACTTCTATTTCACTTCCTCTCATTCACCTGCTCCAGTCTCTGTCTCTCTGTGGCCATGTCCAGCTTCAAAGTGTGGAAGGGAGTGACCACCTCGCCCATGGTGAGTTTCACCGGCTCTTTCTCAAACTCCAGGGTGTCGCCGTCGGCCTCCTTGAAGCCGGGCGGCTGGTAGTCCTGAGGAGTGACTGGAAGACGGACGGACAGTGAGACAAACAAAACAGATTCCCTCATCTGCACCTGACAAACTGCCCCTCAGAAAGACACTGATGGGGCAACTTCACAAAGAATGTATTTCAGCCGCTGATTTCACCGTGAACTGCGCATCACTTGCAACCGCCGTCTGCACCGTCTCAAGGTCCGATTCAAAAAACGTGCAATCCTTTTCATGAATTCGGCCCTTAACCTTTCGTTGCTCACTCAAGTCAGATCAGAGCATCAGCTAAATAATGTGACACGGAAGCATAAACGCTTTCAGAGCTTAAAGCTGCAGCTCATGAAATTAAGGTTTTGTAACAAACAAATCTAGTCGTTGTTAAATTAAACTTGTGAGAAGCTTTAAAATGTTTTGGCTCAATTCAGTTTCTCCTGCACTTGTATGAATGATGATCCCTGCGAGTTACCGTTGTCGTAGTAAGCCAGCTTCATGTTGAGGCAGATGTTGTCTGGCAGAGGACCCAGGTTCTGCATCAGAGTGTAGAGCTTCCTCACCAGCAGGGTGCTGGCCTTCTTCGTGTTGCCGGATGACATCGCCGACACCTTGCTATCGTTGTTGCTGATGAAGAAAGGAGGCAGGATGAGAAATGAGAAACGCTCACCATCAGCCCAGTGCTGCTGAAATATGACTTCTCTTTCAGACACGTTGCCACGTTAACGGTTATGGTAACTGGGGTTTTGGGATGTTCTGAGGTGAACCAGCCACTGAGTGTGTTCAGAAAGTGCAGTCACACGTTACAGGTGCTCGGGTAACAGGAGCCTGTTTATGACTCGAGACTGAAGCCACTCTGACTTTTAAATCTCTTAAAACCTGCATTCTCTCTGATGTCCACCAGGGGGCGACTCCTCCGGTTGTATAGAAGTCTATGAGAAAATGACTCTACTTCTCTCTTGATTTATTACCTCAGTAAACATTGTAAACATGAGTTTATGGTCTCAATCTCTAGTTTCAAGTCTTCTTCAATACATTTTAAAATGTAGTTAAGAACATCAATATGCTATCCTGACATCTGTAGAAGTGTGTATTCAATGATGTGCAGACAGAATCTGTTTGTTTTTTTGTTCTATACTCTCCTATAGTATGGAGTACTTATTTCCAACTTCAAGTCTTATGTGAATTTAAGAAATCAAAGGTGTCAAAGGGGTTAATTCATGCACTGATTAGACAGAAAATCAAGTTACTTCCTGGTAGGTGAGTGTTAAGTCGAAGCCAGAGATGATTCCAACCTGTATTTTTCCTTTTGTTAGCTTCTTGCATGAATATGAGCTTTATTTAACGTGTTATAAACTTCTCGTGAAGATAAAAAAACCTCACCTTTCAAAGTCCATCTGTGCTCCTTCTGCAGTGTAATGGATCCTGAACTGGTAATACTCAGTCACTTTCTGAAAGACAGGTGCTGTATATGAGATACGCAATAATCCGATAACAGCTTGTTATCTGTACAGTAGTTTAGCATTGTTAAACATCAACAATGGCAAGAGGACAGCCGGTACATTACCTGAGGGTTCTCTGGGTCAGTGTAGATCTAAAAAGAAAGGATCAAATGAAAAAGAAACATCACGACTATTTCTGGATTTCTGTCAGGCTTTATAGAAAAGACAATAAAACAAATATCACACAAGAGAAGTCCATTAACAAAATACTCACAGACATAATGACGCTCCGCAGCTGGTGGGGATAAAACAAATAACAATAACTTTGACCACATGATGAGGCACGGGACAAATAAGGACTCACGTACTGAACAAATGTTGTGATTTATGGAAAAGGTTGAACGTGACTTACATACTTCTTCTGGATGGCCTCAAAGCACCCCTGCATCCTGGAAGAATTTAATTAACACACATCTAATTATCTTTGACACATACAGGGGATATTGTTTTCCTTGTGATCCTCATATCATGTCAATGACTTTGGCCAGCAAGTGTCACGTCGTTGTTATTCACCATTGAACCATCTGACTGGCACCGGGACAGCTGCGCTCCTCTTTAATGATCATCACTTTCTGATCTGTGGGAAGAAAAAACTTCTGCGGTCAATGGACCTAGATAGCTCACTACGATGGGCGGACAAATAACTTTTCATGCGCATTACTAACCTGCAACATATTTGCTGCCATAGGCTTTCTCTGGGAAAAGGCCCCGGAGGTATGTGATGCCGGACACTGCGATGGCCAGAAGCTTCTTCATGACAACCAGGGACTGCTGCTCGGAGAGCACCTGATTGGGCAACAGCTGAGTCTCCTGCATGAGTGAAAGTCCATGGCATAGTGAAGGCTGCTTATTAATCACAGTTAACATTCAGCCAACGAGTGAGCCTAGTACACTAGTAAATGTACTTAATTAAGTTACAATTACCAGCGTTAATGCTAAAACACTGTATCTAACTGTTAGTTACTAACTAGCTATTTACATTAACTTGTCAGTGTGGAGTGATTTTACCTGAGAGGTTCTAACTTGCTGTACACAGGCCATTGCAGTGGTGAGAGGACACAATATAAAAGCTGCAAAAAAATAAATAAAAGAAAACAGAGAGAAAAACTAGTTTATTACCGTTACATTAACGTAAACTACAGCTAGCAAGTTGACCCGTTAGCTAGCTAATTTATGACCGTTACATTAAGGTAAACTACAGCTAGCAAGTTCACCTGTTAGCTAACTAGCTAATCATCATGTTCCATTTAGCTAGGCTGCCAACGGCTAACACTGTTTCTGACACACTAAGATGGAACTTTTAAGGTACTTACATGGCAACAGATGAAAGAATATTTTCCCAAAACGACAATATAATACAATCAGTACAACTTTTTTTAAAGATTTGGAAGTAAGCTAGCTAACGGTTCACGGGTGTTCACGTAGAACAACGGTTCCCGCAAATTATTTGATTAACGGGCAACAACCGACAGTTACAGCCACGGAGCTTGTCAAAGCGTAACAAAAAAATATAAATTTATAATAACATGGCTGCCGATCGTAATTTCAAACTGACTGTGGTGTATTCATTAATTTATATAACACGGAGTATATTATTTTAAACCAGCATGTATCATATACAATATATTTTGTGTTATCCAGGTGCATTGTGTTGATGCAGTGCGTCCCCCTTCCCAGCCCCGCCCCCCAGTCTCCACTTCGTAAAATCATTGGGCGACGGGGCTGCCACTCTCAGAGAATGGCCCTATTCATGGTATGCTATTGGCTTCTACGTGAACCATTACTGCTCTCCTATTGGTTACTGTATATGTCGGTTAGACGTGGGAAAACACCCCCTTCGTTGGTGATGTCACATCTCGTTACGCCATTTTTGTTGGGGAGCAGTCGTGTCCAGAAAAGGAGGATTAGATTCAGTACAGGTACATCAGAACGGTAGCTCGTATATTCATCTCTCCGAGTTGCTAACGGGGACAGTTTGCTTGTCCATCACACTCACACAATGTCGTCAGAAAACCTGGACTCGGACACTCAGGTGGACTACGAGGACGAAAAACAGGTGGGTTTTCTGACTGCTGTCTTGTGGATGTTGTTGGCTAACCACCCGGGCATGCTAGCTAGAAGTGGCTAACATCAGCTAGCTAGCACAAGTGCAGTGTGTGTATGCTCTGCGCTGCTGCAGCAGACAGAGAGGGAGGACTCCTGGAAGACATGGAGGGCTAATGACAAGCCGCTCTGTGTGTTGAGAATGTATTTTATATCATAGCTGTCCCACCTCACAAAGCACCCTGTGCCAGTGTGTCACTTTGTTTTGTCCCTTTGCCTTTGTGTCATTGGCTGGCGAGTCCACAGCAGCTCGGGGCCTCATTGGTCTGGCCTGGATGGTCCCAAAACATGTCATCTGTGTGCAAATGAAGACATATTTTGGTGTTTTTTACTTGACGCATGCTTTTGAAAACATCTTCGTCTCGACGTGCACATGGCTAGAGATCCCTGATGGTGTTCTCCTGACAGTGACGACAACTGCAGTGTGACAGTGCTTCCGCATTTCCACACGGTACCACAACAACGGCAGTGATGTGCTGATGGTTCAACACTGTGATGCTCTGTGTTGACATCTGAGAATCGGTCCCATCGTGCACATGTGTGATTAGTTTTTCTCAGCTTTAAAGGCTTTGTTTTGCTGTTGACGTTTGATAATATATACATAATAATATCTATTATACATAAATAACCATGTCATGAACTTGAGAATTAATTTAGGGGAGGAATCTGATTCAGCAGTTGATTTTCAGATGTCTAAATTGTTAGTGATTTAATAAAGAAACAATACAAGAAATATTATTTTAAGTTATAGTGAATTGTGACTGTTTGGCCACCGCAATACCAATGTATTTATAGTCAAACTTAAATAACACTAAACTAGGGAGACATTAGGGCCTCCTAACACCCATGGACCCCAAATCATAGCACTGCTTATTTACTGTATTTTATTTTTCCAATATTATTTGTAAATATGCCAAATGTATCATGAAGATTTATGTATATAATGATGCATTTAGGTACCCAATTCTTTTTCTATGTGTTTTTAAAAGTCCTATTGAATAATAATGCTATTTCTCTACTTGTTGGAGTGGAACAAGCAGATACAATATATATACATGTGTGTCAAATAGTGTGGAAGAAATGTGATGTCAAACTTTGACACCACCTAAGGGGACATATTACAGTCCTGCTCATAGCTGTTTAAAAACTTTGCACAAAGAATCTGTTTCTGCAGTTTTCCTGCATTGGCGCCGAATATAGCCGCTCATAAATTTCTCCTCTTGATCCCAAGTGAATCAGCACATTCCCGCTCCTGAGGGAATGTGTTCATCGGCTTCTGTGTCCTGAGTCACATTGTATCCCTGTCCCAGCAGGCTTTGCAGGCTGAGGGCCCCGTCTTGTCTAAGCAGTGTGCTCCTAGCTCTTGGTGTAGGCCTGTGTGCAAGGAGTGCATACACGGCCTTTGGAGTTTGTCCGCTGTAGTCCTTCGTGCACTTTACACCTACTAGTTCCTGAGACAGTTCAGCCTGCAGTCAGAACACTTGAGTCTTGCTATGTGCACAGACTAGGTGTGTCCTGGTGGCCCAAATAACTGACCTGAATATCTGCCTGACAGGGACTTGAATGACTAGTATCTCACCAGATTGACTAGTATCAGCCTTCTGTAAGCCAATCCTGGTGCTGTAAGAGCTGGAGAGCATTGTCAACGGATTGTTTCTTGACCTCAATTCCCATTATTCTTTTAAAAAAAAAAAAAAAAGTATAACACAGAAAGCTGAAGACAAGGTTTGTTATGTCCACATTCATTTTAAATATCACACGATTTAGAAGTTAACAGATTCTGATCATGCTTAAAGGGACTTTTCTGGGATTGTGAGCACAAGTTGTGTGTTAGTTATCTAATGTGGAATACTTTATTTTCAGCAAACAGTTTTAGCTTCAACAGATGCATACATGATGCTCTTGTGCATAAAGACGACCAAGGAGGACATTTGTTGTTATCAATCTAAGCTTACAAAAATCATTTAGACCTTATTTTAAGATGCTGTTTGTACAAAGCTTTGGCCTCATCTTGAGTTATTTCTTCTCAGTTATGATGGTAATATGTGAGACTATAATAGGAGAACATTCATGTTGTGACTCGTACTACCTTCTTGTATCTTCAGTTCACAGTAGTCACTGTCATAGCACACTTCATACAAGAGGCCCTGTTTATTGCTGTACTGCAGGAATGTAGGTGTTAGTAGTGTAGGGCGACCATGAATGTGTGTCTGTCACAATAACGGCTTTTACAGGTGTGCTTACATTTTTCACCGAAGATGTATCCGCTGACTATTTGAAGGAGCCCTGTGTTGATGTCCGTTTGTTCTTGTCTCCACAGGACTCCCAGGAGAAGAATGCAAACCCTGTGAAGGCAGAGGAGGCCAAGCTGAAGGCCAAGTACCCCGGCCTGGGCCAGAAGCCTGGCGGCTCCGACTTCCTGATGAAGAGACTACAGAAAGGGGTAGGCCACCGTGGTTCAGTTACTACATGGTCAGAGACGGGCTGAAGTCCACCAAAGACAATCCTGGTCGACTGAAACTTCAACCAGTCGATGGGTCGATCAGGGGAAAGAAATAATTCTGTTCCTCTAGAATCTAGATGAACTAAATGTCCCCTGTGAGCTGAGTAGCCTAAATGAATTATAAATAAACATAAAAAGTGATAGGCAGCATATCAAATTAATTTTAACCTAATCATTTAATACCTTAATGAACACTCAAACCTGACGCTGGTGTGGTGGAAACAACGATTTAATAGTACAGAGTGAGTCCTATGATACTGAAATTAAGACATGTTGAGAAAAGAAGCTTGTCTTTAAAGTATTTATTCTCTGTGCTGAGAAGGTTCAGTTGTCATACAGAATGCAATGTGGTCTGAAGGAGGAAGAACCCAGAGTGATGGTTGTGTATGACTCATAAAGGCCCTGAGCACATGGTGGGGTAGGAGGAGTTCATCACTAGGACATCTGGACAACAGGGACCACTCATTGGTCAACCATTGAATGCTTAATCACTGATTGGTCCACTGATTGCATCCCCATTCAGCCCCTTATCTAAGCTGACAACATCATGTCCCTGATTAAGACACACACACAGTATTACTCAACCTGAGATGACCCTCACTGACAGTCATTAACCTTACTAAGACAAAAAGGGCCAACACACCAAGTGGTCACACAATAAAACAGTGGAAATCTGACATCACACTGGTCCGGGTTTTTTAAAGCCTGCACCCACCCGACCTGTTATGAGAGCCAAGCCGCACCGCCACGCCTCAAAAATATGCATTACCTGCAAACCACCGACTTCATGCGTTACAGTAACATCATCATAAGGACTGTGGCTCAGTGGGAACCTCAAGGTTGGTGGTAGGATCCAAGTTCCCCCCCCCCTCACTTCTCCTAAAGCTAAAGCTTAAGATCATGTTGTTCTTTATAACAATAAAAAAACCAGTAGCCCAACCCTTCATTAAAGAGGTGAACTCTGTCTCTCAACACTCAGCACTGCTCACTGCAGGGCCAGTAAAATGCCACGTCAGGCTAGCAACTTACTAACCCGGGTAAAAAAATAATTAAACACGTCGTTTTCTCTGGAGCTGATGATGGAATTAGCTTTATCGCTTCCTCCTCAATAAATAATCATGAAGATTAAACATTAAAACATGATAAGTTATTTAATATTTGTAACCACAAAGGCATCGTTGCCTCTCCTCTCTCACTGTTCCTCGTGTGGAAGAAGTGTTGCTCTCTCCACCTACACGCTCTGTGTACGTTACAGAGAAGCTCCCCCTCTGGAGATTGTTGAAAGTCATTCTGGGAAATCACTGACTAGGAGTAGGAGTAGCTAAGGCAGGCTGAGGGGAAGGCCACAAGGTAAATTGCAGTACTTAATCATAAGATAACTCCAGATTGAGCTGGCTGTGAAAATATCACTTCCACATGTGACTCCAATTCAAGATATAGGGACAAAAGTTACAAAAGCATTACAGGGAATTTCATACTTCAAAAGACTTGAGCTTTGAGACATAACTTGACAGTAACCGTAGCGATAAGAGTACTAGCATCGATATAATCCTAATTAAGAAGAGTCCTCCATCGGGCCAGTATGGACGGGGTCAATCTTTCAACGTCGTCTTGTTGAAAACCACAGCTTGTTCTCTCTGCATGTCTCTGAAGCCGTGTTGTTACCTCTCATCTCTTCTCTCTCACAGCAAAAGTACTTTGACTCAGGCGACTACAACATGGCCAAGGCCAAGATGAAGAAGCTTCCCGTGGCGGGGCCCGACAAGAACCTGGTGACCGGCGACCACATTCCCACGCCGCAGGACCTGCCCCAGCGGAAGTCCTCTCTGGTGACGAGCAAGCTAGCCGGCTAGCCCCCATCATCCTAGAAGCACCATCACACCCCCCCTGGGGCTCCCGTCAAATCTCCCTCCCCCCTCACCTCCCCTCCCCTCCCCTTTTTATCCCCAGGCACCACTGGCTTTAACATGTCGGGCAGAGTTGTATGAGTTGAAACTCCATTTGCTTGTATGTGGGTGGGGCGGGGTGGGACGGCTGGAGGTTTTAGGCGACCCCGTGAGGTCGCGGCCTTCTCTGCCCCCCCACCACGCACAGCTCTGCCCCCTCTGCGCACACTCTGCTCCACCGCCTCCCTTATGTCTTGGTTTTTCGGTGTTCCAAGATGCATCACAGTAGGTGTGTCATCAGGCAGGGGTTGGATGGGGTGAGTTAATGCACTTTGTAGTCTGTATAGTATGCTTTTGTTCTTTTCTTTTCTTTTTTAATTTTGCATCCTAAATGACACCAAAATAATATGTGTGAGGGAGTTAGGAACCATGAGCTTTGATCTTTATGTTCCCCATCTGGCTTTAGCCGGAGTTGTTGGAGAGATGTGTGTGAATAACTGCTTGCATACCAAACTTGTGAGGGACAGCTGCCCAGCTTAAGAGCTCTTTAGCGTTCACCGACACCATATTGGGGAAATGGGCAAAATAAACGGAAGCGTCCCTTCATCTCATTCTTCGCACCCCCCCCCCGGATTTTGAAGCACCAGCTCTTTATTCTTTCTCTCCACTCATGTTGCTTTAAAGCCTTGACTCCCGTAGATCCTGTTCTCTCTAAATATGCTGCATGATTGTAACAGAAAATTAAATTGAACATGTTTTTTTTGTTCGTTTTAACGGGAGTGTATCTGCTTCGTGATAGGAAGAATCAAAACAAACACACGGAGCCCTAAAACATCCTCAGTCACTTCCTTCCTTTTCTTTTTGCTGTCCCGACAATCCACGTACATGCTCATCCACGTGCACACGCTCCTGTTAGCGGCCCAGGGCAGGAGCCAGCTGAGTATGTCCCTGTTTATTTTGAATGGCTGGACACCTTGCCAATAGTTTGGTTGCTGTTGAGTTGCATCAAGACGTGTGTTTACTATGAGCCTAAAAGATTTGTGGGGGTATCGAAGCACCCAGCATAGTGTGTGTGTGTGTGTGTATGTATATGTGTGTGTGTGTGTGTGTGTGTGTGTGTGTGTGTGTGTATATGTATATGTGTG